CTATAATGCATCTCTGTGAGAAGAAGCGTACAATAGTATTTCTCTTCTATATACAATGTGTCATGAACCCCAACTGTTTTAAGAATAAATTCTAAAATAAGAGTCTTTCATATTTCCCTTCATATCCCCATTTATGGCTCTCTGGCCCCCCTTGTAGACAGAATCCTACCTGGTATCATTTTCATGCCCCATGTACAGTTCAGCTCCCAGCTCTCATTGTCCAATACAGAGTCCACATCATGTCTTGGTACTTAGCAATAAAGGCCCCAGATTTCTGGGGCTCTTTCTCCCCAGACCTCCCTCCCTCAGACTCCTGAACTCTGACCTCTGACTCCTCCACTCAGTGGGACCCGGCCTCTGACACCTCAGCATGAGCCAGACACGTGGGGCCCTCCCTTCTCCAGGGCCCCCTGCTCTCTGCCTACTGTGGCCTGTTATCCAAAAACAACTGCTTTGTAAACTCTGTCCATTTTCCTAGCCTGGCCTTTGCCACTCCACCAAGGCTGGGAAGGTCTTGGCTGCCCAGTGAGCACATGGATGGCAGTCTTGTGGCTGTGACGTGGAGTCCACTCCTCACTCCTCACAGATGATCCTGGGCACAGCAGAACAGAGCAGGTAACTGAGGGCATCCTTCTGTGCATTTTAAAAGCAAAATCTAGAGCTTTTTGGTGAGGTCTGCACCTGAGGTGCGATTTTGACAGCCCTGTGTGGTTCATGGAAGAGGTCTGGGTGCAGTTGTGGCTGTGGCAGGTAGAGAGTGGACAGCAGGTACTGGGATCTCAGTCCTGGGCACTGTTCGACCTGGGGAAGTGCTTGAGACTGAAGCCTGGCTGGGCATTCTCAGTGGATAGACTAGAGCCCGCTCCAGTAGCAGTGTGGCATCTCCCTTGGTCACTGCACTTTTGCATGAAGCTCATCTGCCATATAATGTCCCACCTGGCTCCAGAATGGGCCATCATCCCAGATGGCTTTGGGCAATGTGATTCAAACAGCAGGTGAACGGATACCTCTTCCTGGGGACTCAGCAACATCTTGGGGGGGCCCTAGGCAGCTCTTGGAAGCACAACTATCCACAACATGAGAGGGACATAGCCAGTGGCTGAGAGGGACCCCTTTACCTCAGGCACTACACAGTGGGAGGATGACCCATTATAGCACTTGGCCAGCAAGCCTGTAGCATGAGCCCACAGTGGGAGAAAGCAAGGCTCAAGCAGCTGGCAGTGCTCTTGTGCTCAAAAAGTCTTTGTCCAATCTGAAAGGATGCTAAGGAAATTGGTGCTATGATGGGAGGTCTCTAACCACACTCTGCTATGCTCAAAGAGGCTACCTGGCTTAGGGTCTAGCCTGAAGAGTAGACTCCCACCCTCACCCAGTCCTGTAGACTCTGTGGGCAGAGGTATAGGGGCTGAGGCCACAGATGCAGGAGGGAAGACAAGTTCCTGGAGACACCAGTGGAGGCAGAACTTGGGCTTAGGCTGACTTCTTAGCACCAACTGTGCACCAATGAGCTCTGCCGGCATTGTAGATGGTAGCTGTTCTACTAAAAGTGACTCCCGCTCTCTGGACCCTGACTTGCCAGTACAGCCACACTAGTCTTCAACAGCAACTCAACCCCAGACCCAATTCCTCATAGCTGCCAAGGGTCACCAGGAGGGGAGGCAGCAGTCTGAGCTCCAACAAGACGATAGGCATGGCTGAGGCGCCTTCTTGGGTGCTCCAGTGTGTCCAGCCTGCAGATTGTCTACACATCAGCCCGAAGGTTCCAGACCCCACCATGTGCCCTGGCAGCCCCTGAAGTGCTCAGAATAGCTTGACGCACACGTGAGGCCACACACCATGCAAGGCTCTCGGATCACCTCTTCCTCTGACATGAGACTTCACTCAACACAGCCAGGTGGGGCACGTGCAGAGTCCACTGTCCACCAGCCTGTTGGTGGGCACATGGGCTGCTTCGATGAGGATTCTGCTCTGAACACTCAAGTGCAGGTCTGTGGACATGGGCTTTCACTGTTCTCGGGCACCCAGGGTGCAGCTGCAGTGCTGTGGGTAAGTTTCCATTTCACACCACAGTGGTTGTGCAGGGTCCTCAAAGATGCAGTGCAGGAGGCAGGGGTTGCTCCACACTCTCGGCTGTGCCTGGCTCTGCTAGCTTCTCTCTGGGGCTTCTGCTCCCGCATCCCCATAGCCAAGGCTTTGTGCACCGTGTCAGGCCCGCGGGCCTCTGAGACAGTACAGGATCTGCAAAATGGGAGGGACAGCATGCTTGACCCATTCATGCAGTAAAGCCTCATACGGAAGACCCCATGTCCACAGAGCCAGACAGACCTGGTGCCCATGGGTGGAACTCGGCCAAGAGCTGAGGGGCAGGAGTGCCCCATATCCTAGGCCTTCCACGCCCATCTGGGTAGTGATGTCTTTGAGCTGCTGTGTCTGTGCATGTCTGCGGGTCCACGTGCTGGGTGGTGGGGTGGAATCCTGGGCAGTGTGACGTGAGGCAACCTTTGAATCACTCAGCTTGAGAAGAGCTGCCCTCCTGCCTTCCCTGGCCCCCTGTGCTGAGCCTGGGCAGGGGATCTATCTCTGCACACCACAGCCAGTGGCTCAAGCCCTGACTGACTGTACATGGGGTGGGGGTTAGGCCACAGTGGGTTTACTCACATGGGTATGAGGGGCAGAGGTCAGTGGAGAGAAGAGACTCTCAACTTCTAGAGTTAAGGTTGAGGAGACAAGGGATTTGGGTTTCCATATTCAGTCCTTGTCTGAGGGGAGAGGCCAGAAGGGAGGTCACAGTGACCCCCAGGACAGTGGGGTGAGTCGCCTGTGTCCTGCCCCAGTTTCAGAGCCCCCACCCCAGACAGGGGTGCCTGAGTCTGTGGGGCTTGAGCTGGAACCACAGGACTGTGGTGTGGAACTCTGTACCCAGTTAATTTGCTCATTATTTAAAAAAAAAAAAAAAAAAAAACTACTAAAAGTAGCGGCAGATGCAGAACAGAAGTGAAGTCACCACTCCCTACAAGTAGGACAGCCCGACAGACCTATTCCAGCCCACAGTGGAAAGGACCTGAGCCTGATACCACCTATGTCCCACAGAGACAGACAGTGAGGGTCCCTCTGCACACAAACCCAGGCCAGACTGAGCAGCTCTGGGGGTGGCCTGAGCCAGGTGAGGGCCATAGAAATGCTGGAGCCTAGAGAAGCCTTTGCCCCCTCACAGGGGTCCTGGCTCTGGTCTCCTGTCCCTGGTGGGGACCTAGGCACCCTACTCAGACTGGGGTGCATGTGACATCCACCTGGAAGCCCTGATCCACTTGTCTTCTGGGCCTGTTCAGGGGACATGTGAGTGGGACTCACACTATGACCCTGGACAGCCCCAGCTGAGGGACAGAGCCTTAGGCTGTGTTCTCCTGGTCCAGGTGGCCAACCCCACCCAGAGTACCTGTGCAGTGCCCATGGAGGCTAGCAGACATCTTGCTACCAGGCAACCGCCTCAGGCCAGCCCTGGGCCCCTTTGCTGTATTGGTCAGGCCAGGTCAGCTGCCAGGACACCACTGGACATAACCCTCAACTGGGTGCTTGTCCTGGCCTCTCCACCAGCAGCTGGGCCTTGCACTGTCTGCTCTCCTGCCACTCTGCTGCCCCTCTGGGGCCATCTGTTCTGGTAATGACCAGCCCCTGCCACTGTACCCCCTACCCCGTGCCCCAGGACACAGGGACCCAGTAGTGGAAAGTAGGTCTGTGGCTCCCACTTATGCTCCAAAGACACTTGTGGGGCAAAACCTTTATTCTGGCTCAGCGCCTGTGGCTCAAGCGGCTAAGGCGCCAGTCACATACACCTAAGGTGGCGGGTTCGAATCCCCAGCCCGGGCCCGCCAAACAACAATGATGGCTGCAACCAAAAAATGGCCAGGCGTTGTGGCGGGCACCTGTAGTCCCAGCTACTTGGGAGGCTGAGGCAGGAGACTCGCTTGAGCCCAGGAGTTGGAAGTTGCTGTGAGCGTGATGCCATGGCACTCTACCCAGGGAGATAGCTTGAGGCTCCGTCTCAAAAAAAAAACAAAAACAAAAAAACTTTATTCTAGGACACATGCTGTGAGTCCCCAACAGTCACCCACTACCATGCTGCTGTCACATGTGCTGTATCTCGACAACCAAGCTGCCGACAACATGTGTCTCCCCCTCCTCTACCCTGAGAAGGGTTGCCTGTCCTGTCCAGGCCCTTCTGAAATTTGTACTTCTCACTGAGTTCTCTGTGGGTCACCTCTGCTGCAGTGACATCCACTCAGGATAAAGGGGCCACATAGGACTCTCGCAGCCCACAGCACCCCTGGCCTAAGGGCCCATGGTCACCACCAGGGTAAAGGGTATGGCTGTCCAGCTGGATGACCCCTGGGGCTCCCATGGATGGACACTGCCCACAAACCCACCATAGGACTCTAAGGAAGTCATTTCTGACCCAAATGCTGAGTTCTGTGGCCACTGTCACTTGTCTTCAACTGCCACCATCAACCAATGATGGATGTTTGCCAAAGTTCTGAAGCCCCTGCTGTGACAGCACTGCCCATGTGTGACTGAGCAGCTGGGCACCTCCCCAGCAGCCTTCAGAGAATCCAGTTTTTGTTTTGAATTCTCTGAATAATACAATTCCAGGCCCCATCTTCCCGGGACCCAGGACACACTTGTGTTTCAGACCTGGTGGCTTGTCACTCCAGAGGCCCCAAGTGGCTCAGATATGGCCCCCAGGGGAGACTGGCAGCAGTGGGGGCCCCACCCCTCCCAGGAAGAGGAGTGAATCCCAGGGCAGGAGATACAGCCTTGGGCCCAAGTCTCCCTTTGCCCATCCCTGAAACCTTCCTTCATTTAAGTGCTTAGATGCCCCCAGCTATGGGGAGCCACAGTCAAGTTGGTGAGGACACAACAGTCCAATGACGGGAAGGCTCTGGAGAAGAAACAGGTCACGTGACACTAGGCAAGGGGCCGTGTCCACACTGGAGGCTGCAGCATCATCAGAAAATGGTTTTAATTATGTACAGACAATCACCAGGCTGATTCAGATTCATATGGGGCTGAGGGGCACTCTTGAGAGGGGATGGCCGCTGAACACCAAAATAAATCACAAATGGTGATGACTGTGGGAGAAGCAGAATCACTTTTCCTTTGGGTCAAGAGAAAGAAAAAGAAAACAACAAAAATCAGAGGCTTTGGAATGCTTTCTCTTCTTGTGCCATGGAATGACATTTGTCCCGGACGGCGGGACAGCAGAACAGCAGGAGGGGCGCAGGAATGGTGGTAACCTGGGGGCTCAGGGCCTCTCACGTGCCCACGTGTGCCTTGGGCCACAGGGTCCCCAAAGTGAGGGTCTGATGCCCAGTGACAGACTTCTCGGTGCAGCCAGAGCCTGGGACCTCAGAACAGGGGCCGGGAGCCCTGGCTCTCAAACTCAGACCAGGCGTCGCTGAGCTCCATGAAGATCATCTTGGCATACTGTTCATACGGCTGCCCTGCGGCCTGTGGCAACAAGTGGTATGAGCACCTCCCTCCAGCACCCTCCTTGGCAGGCTGGTAGAGAAGCCCCATGGGACTCACGCAGGGATGGCAAGGGCTGAGCTGCGTCATCACCATGGGTTGTGCCTGGGCAGGCCTCCCAGGGTCCCAGCCTGACCCACTCACCTTGTCAGGGTGCACGACCAGAACCGCACGGCGGTAATGCTTCTTCACCTGCGCTGGTGTCACTAGGTCTGCCATGCCCACAGGCGTCCAGCGGCTCTCCCCGTCCCACAGCACTGTGTGCAGTGTGGATAGCAGGGCACGGACATTTCTTTCCTTGCCTTCGATCCACTCCAGGATCTGCAGGGGATACCACACACCCTGAGTCTGGGCACTCACAGGAGGTGCCAGGGTTGCAGGGTGTGCTAAGGTGCTTGGCACCTACTCCTCCTTGCTATGCAGGGAGGTTGAGGCGTGAGGCAGAGGGAGGACCCAGGGTGGTGGGGCAAGAGGGGAGGATGCAGGCTGCAGTTTGAGCCTCAGGAGCCACAGCCCAGACCTAGACTCCTGCACCCACCAGACTGCACAGGGCACCTGCTGCTCACAGAGCTTGGTGTCCAACCCTCAGGCACCCTCACCCTGAGTGCAGCCATGTGGAGGATGCTGAACCCATCAGCAGGGCCCATGAGGCCTGGTTCACATGCAGCAAACCCCTCCATGCCCAGCTCCCACAGGGGCCACTCCAGATCCAGGCCCACAGGGCACTGCACCCAGAAACCAAATGGTATCTTGGGCAGAAGTCAGTGACCCTTGTCTTAGCCAGACACCCACAACAGACTCAAACCCTGTCCCTCCAGTGAAACCCTCCCATCCTGGACCCCAAGGGGATAAGGAGGCAGGTCCCCAGGAGCCTGTGGGAAGCCAGAGCAGTCACACCCTGTCCACTGGGTCTCATCCCCCTCATAGAAAACATCTGGGTCAGGGTGCCCACTTGGCAGTTTCTCTGAAGAAATCCCCGGGAAAAGCCAGGCTGCCTTGGTGCAACCATGCTCAGAGGGGATGGGGGGAGGCCTGGTTGTCCTGGCCAGGCCCTCTGGGCAAATGGAGGCAGCAGGCCACAGAGGCCTTGTCTGCCTCTTGCCGCCGGCAGGAGACATGGCCCCAAGAGGAGCAAGGCCTCTGGGCCCAACAGCGACCCACTGCACCTTCAGCTTCAGCGGATCAGTGTCTCTGACGAGGTCCTGCCTCCTCATCTCTGCAATGGTCTTCGGCCCCTTCTTGTCAGGCCTGGTGGAGAAGCCTTGATTGGACAGTAAATCCTCAAAATCGTTCTCTGAGACTTTTGGCTTTGGAGCTGAAAATGAACAAATTTTTTACAGAGAATTTCCTTTCCCACTCCCTGGGGAATGGGGTCACTGTCCTGACACTACAAAAGAAAAGAAGAGCAGAAAAAGCAGGTCCCAAAGGTGTCTGCTAAACACAGAGAAGCTGATGGTGCAAGGGGGATCTGGAGAGGACCAGCCCCAGAGCATTAACTTGCATTTCCTGTGCTGGGCTCTGCGTTGAAGAAAACAACAGGATTTCACCTTTAACTATCCAGGGCAAGTTGTGCAGAAACCAGAGAGGGAGATGGAAGGAAAACTCACCAAAGCCAGGTGCGCGGACCCCCCTCTCTTCTCGTGCCCCGATCACACTGAAGCTTGCGGCATAGTTAGGCCTTGGTTGAGCACACGCTTTGGGGGGCAGCTTGGTTTGGGGGGCCCATGACATGCCCTGGGTCAGTGGCCGATTCGTCTGCCAGGAGCTACCACCCTTGGGAATAGGAGTTGTCGTGGGAAGAAAGCCTCCGTTAACAGGACGGGATCCAGTGGGCAGGCCTGGGGAAAGGACCACAGGACACTCGCAGGCCGCACGTCATGAGGGCAGCTGCAGCTCCTACATGAGGAATGCTACACGTGTGGGGAAAGCAGTGGACAAATGAGCCCTGCACCATGCCAGTGGGATCTGTCTCTACACCCTATACACAGAGGCCAAGGGCTGAGGCTGAACACCAGGGCAGGTGGCTGTCAGGGCAGCACCCTGTTCCCATGGCCCTCTGTTGGGTGGGCACCATCTCCTAAAGCCCCTTTTTATTTTTATTTTTTTATTTTTTATTTTTTTGGAGACAGAGCCTCAAGCTGTCACCCTGGGTAGAGATGCCATGGCATCACAGCTCATAGCAACCTCCAACTCCTGGGCTCAAGCAAGTCTCCTGCCTCTACCTCCCAAGTAGCTGGGACCACAGGCACCCACCACAATGCCTGGCTACTTTTTTTGGTTGCAGCCATCATTGTTGTTTGGCGGGCCCAGGCTGGATTCGAACTCGCCACCTTAGGTGTATGTGGCTGGCGCCTTAGCCACTTGAGCCACAGGTGTTGAGCCTTTATTTTGAATTTTTATCAGATTCATGGGAAGCTGCAAACTGAGACCCAAAATATCCCCTCGCAGCACCTCTGGGGTGCCCCGGCAGGATGCTCCTCTGTGTCTGTGCAAGTACGTAGGTCTACACAATCTCTCAACATGCACAGATGTCTGTGAACACCAGATTAAGATCACTGATCTGTTCCTCTTACAGTTCTGTCATCTGAAGAATGCTCTAGAAATGGAACCAACAGCAGGTGACATTTGCAATTGGCTCTTTTCACTCAGGATGTCGCTCTGAGCCACCGCATGCAGCTGCTGTCCACTCCTTTTCATCACCTTATGGAGTTTTGTGCAAATTAAAGTTTTCACTTCTCTGGGATAAATGCCCAGGGTCACATGGAAGTCATGTGGACACTGACTGTGCTCCTGTTTCCATTCCTGCCAACAGTGCAAGGTAGCGGTTTCCTCACGTCCTCCCCAGCACTGGCACAGCCTCTCCTTTTGGAGTCCTGATGGGGTGTGGCACCACGGTCTCCACCCATGACGCGCCCATGAGCTTGTTGCCAGCTGGTGTCCTCTGCAGGGACATCTCTTCTTGTACCCTGCCCGTGTTCTGAAGAGTAGACAGCTTTCGGTTTTGTTTTTAATCTATCTATGGAGTCTATATACAAGGCCTTTGTCAAATATGTGACTTAAAAATACTTTCTCCTACTATGTAGCTTGGTCTTTCACAAGGTTTGACCAAAGTCCAATTTACCTGCTGCTCCTAAGGGTGGCGGTTCAGGAGCTGAGTCCCACAGTTTTCCTCAAGTCCTCTCAGCTCCACATGTCAGGCCTCAACTTGCACCAAACTCTGAGCTAATGGTTGTCCAAGGAGCAAGGTTGAGGTCAGGGTCCTTTCTTTGATGTCAATGGCTCCAGCACCACTAGCTGAATGGATTTTAAACCTGTTTCAAAAATCAGTTATATGGGCTGGGCATGGTGGCTCACACTTGTAATTCTAGCCCTCTTAGGAGGCCAAGGTGGGCAGACTGCCCTGAGCTCAGAGATTCGAGACCTCTGAAGAGGTCCTGAGACCCTGCCTCTACAAAAAAAAGGCTGGCATTGTGGTGAGCACCTGTAGTTCCAGCTACTTGGGAGGCTGAGGCAAGAGAATCACTTATGCTTAAGAGTTGCAGGTTGCTGTGAGCTATGATGCCACAGCCTCTATGGAGGCCCACAAAGTGAGACTCTGTCTCAATAAAAATAAATAAATAAAAGAAAAAAAAACCTTAAAAGACAATTGAAAGAAAAATTCCAAAAAAAAAAAAAAATCAGTTATATGCCTGCCCTGTCCACATCGTAGCCTCGATTTCTATGGCTCCAAAGGGAAGCTGTGGGGTGAGGGAGGACATCTCCATTCCAAACAGTTTAGCCTTTCTAGCCCATTTATCTTACCCAACAAACTTCAAAATAAGCTTGTCTGTATCTAGAAGAGCCCTGGTTGGGTTTCAGTAGGAACTGTGTCAAATGTATAAATCAACATTTTGACTCAGCTAAACTGCCTACCCATGGCCAAGGCTCGACTGTCTACTGTCCGAGGTCTTCTGATCCATGTTTGCTTTTGTGGTTCCATCATAGAGTCCTGCACACATTTTGTCAGATTTACACTGTTTAATATATATAAAACAAACTACAAATGTTTATTTCTTTAAGAAAGTGATTATAAACAGTACATTTTAAACTCTGGTTTCCTTGTGTAATGTAACTAAACAGAGACACCACGTATTTTGATGTGCTGATCTTGTGTCCTGCACCTCACTGAACTCAGTTCTGAAGGGTCTTTGTAGATCCCTTGAGTCTCTTGCACACCACACAATCTGAAGCAATTTTGGAACAATTTTGTTTTTTCCTTTCCAGTAACATAACTTCTGCTTCTTTTTCTTGCCTAGTGGGAACAGAGTGGAGAGAAGACATCTCTGCCTTGCTCCCAACTTCAGGAGACGTCAAGAGCAATGTCCACTATAGGTCTCTGTCTATGCTGTTATCAAGTTGTTGACATTTTTGTCACTGGTTTGCTGACAGTGTTATAGAAAGGTACTAAATTTCATATGTATATGTATAAAAATGTTTTTAGATCTCCCTTTGAAAAAGAAAAAAGGGATGGAATTTGTCAAATGCTGTTCCTGCACTGCTGATGTGCCCCTTTGACTATTTTTTTAATTTTTTTTTTATTACTTCTTCCTCCTGTAGTGTTTTCTTGCCCCCCATGGAGCTGGAATCACAAGGTCCGGCTGTCTCATTGTCCTGTTGTTGTTGTAGAGACGGGGTCTCACTCTGGCTCATTTGGCTCAGGGGGGTCTTGGCTGGTCTCGAACCTCTGAGCACAGGTGATCCACTCGCCTCGGCCTCCCATAGCGCTGAGACTACAGGCGTGAGCCACCACGCCCGGCCCTTTGACTATCTTTCTTTGGCTGGTTAACACGGTAGATTCTGTTCATTGATTTCATAATGTTGAACCAGCCTTACACTCTGGAAATAAACTCCACTGATCATGATGTATAATTCTTTTAAAATATTGATTAATCCCATTTCCTAATATTCTGTTGAAGATTTCTGTATATTCATGAGGGATACTGGCCTGCAATTTAACATTTCTATATGCTTTCTGTCTGACTTGGGTATGAGGTAGTAACACCAGCTTCATGAATCAACTGGTGACTCCCTGTCCTTGGAAAGACTGTGGGGCATTCTTAAAACATTTGCTAAAATTCTCCAATAACCACATGTAGGTCTGGATTTTTCCTTTTGGGGAGGTTTATAACTATGAGAATTAGTCCATTTAGTATAAGCTATGGTGTTTATGTACGCAGAGCTTCTGTATAGTTCCTGATATTGGTAACTTATACTGGTCAATTTTAGTAGTTTTTGTCACTTTTACTGATCTTTTCTAAGAACCAGCCTTTCTTTCACTGATTTTTCCTTTCATTTTTGTTTTGTTGATTTTGGCCCTTTATTATTTCCTTCTGCTTGCTTTGGGCTTATCTTCCCCCCTTTTCCCTAATGTTTTTGAGCAGAGAGCTCATGTTATTAATGGGGCATTCTGTCTTTTCTAAAGGAAGCAGTTGACCCTGTAAAAGTCCCTGGCACCACTGTGACCAAGGTGTCATCTAGAAGTGTGCTGTTTTGTTTCTAAGTGTGAAGGTTTTTTCAATTATCTTGCTGTTAGTGATCTATAGAGTTGATTTCATTATGATCAGAGAATCACTGTGATGTCCAATTCTTTTAAATCTGTGGAGGTTTGTTTCTGGCCTTGTGCTCCGAGGGCCCATAGGAAAGCTACACTGACTCAATTTGAGGACACTGCAGGTATGCTGGCCACTTTCCCACGTCATTGACACTTTCTGTCCAGCTGCTTGATGGTTCATGAGAGGAGTGCTGTGTCCCCATCTGTGACTTGGGTCGGCTGCTTCTCTGCTCCGTTGCAGCTTCTTTCTGGTCTGCTCTGGCTGCCAAGAGGTTGTGAGGAGGCAGCCTGGCCACTGCCAGGCAAGCTGCATTCAAGGAGTCCTCTCCTCCTGCTTAAGCAGATCCAGTCCCTGAGGGATGCACCTGCTCTCCCTGCTCTCAGACAGCACAGACAGAGTGACAGACGAAAACTCTCATGGGTCTCCTATGGCAGCAGCTCTCAACCTGTGGGTCATGACCCCTTTGTAACAATGAAAATACATTCTGCATATCAGATATTTACATTACGATTCATTACAGTAGCAAAATTATAGTTATGAAATAGCAACAAAAATAATTTTATGGTTGGGGGTCACCACAACATGAGGAACTGTATTAAAGGATCACAGAGGTAGGAGGCATTAGGAAGGTTGAGAACCACTACCTTATAGAGACAGAAATACCTGAGAAACTATTAACAAAATGAAATGTGTATTTAAAGAATTAAAAAACTCCTAGTACCTAACAATTTGATAACAGAATAAACTTTCTTTACAACCTCTGAAGAGCAGAGCCAAAACAGGGCAGTGGCAGGCTAGAGGAGATATAAAGGATTAGACATTAGCCCAGGAACACTCACTCACAAGGCTTCAGGAGAACTAGAGAAGGAGAGCAAAGAAATCAAAGAGACCAAGAGACATGCCCAGAGCGGAGGAGCATCAGCAGCCAGTGTGAGGTGCAGGGAGCTGATAGCACACCCCACCAGGCTCCAGAAGGAGGCGATGCCATCACCTAGAGGTCAGGGTCACCCAGATGATCCTGAGAGATGACAGAGGATAAAAGACACCTCTAGATAACAACCAACCCTCCAGACCTCTTCTCAGAAGCTCCTGGAAGGGGAGATGCAGACAGAGGAGCTCCACGGACTCCAGGGAAATGAACCCAGAAAGGGAACCCCAGGGACCACAGAGGATCAGTTCATTCAAGGAGACCCAGGGCCTGGGTGTATGGGCTGGGGCCTGCAGACATGTAAGCAGGACAGCTGGTGCTCAGTCCTGGACATCGCTAGCTACAGCCAGCTGCACCACTTCCACACTGCAGCTGGACTGCCAACAGCCCTGTCACCCCTCAGGCAGGATAACGCACACATGGCAATGCCGGTAAAGGCCACAGAGCCAGCCTCAGCAAATGCCCAGGATGAGAGCAGACACGTGGTTCCCTGATCCTAGTGCTCAGGCACCCTGGGCAGCCCAGAGTCAGATGAGAATAAACTTCCTACAAGTAAACACAACACCCTCACATATGCCAGTTGCACCCTTCACGCTACCTTGGAGGCCGGAGCTGAGGTCGCCAAGGTCAGCAAATGGGTCCAGGCTCTGAGACTTGGTCCAGTTGGCTGGAAGGCCAGAAGGGGCCGGCTGGCCTCCAGAAGAGAAGACAGGGCCTGGGAAAGGGCAGAGGCGTCAGAACAGCACACCTTCCAGAGCCTCTGCCCTCCCAGCCACACTCAGCCCAGTTGCACCTGTGCAGCTCAGACAGCATCACACGCCAGCTGGCAGCTGCCTCCAAGCCCCCATGGAGCATGATGAAAATAATTTAGTAATTTGTACCAAGAACCAAAAACTGTTCATATAGTTCTGATTTTGTAATACCACTTCCTGGAATCTATATAAAAGCACACATCTTCAGGATATTCATTACAATAGGATAATTTGAGAATATTCTAAGAATAAAATCATGGGGCTCGGCGCCT